GAGGGAGTGCTCGTGGAGACCCCTCCTGGGTGCCCAAGGTGAGGTGTCGCGGGCGGGGGTGTGTGAGGGGACGGGTGGCATCAGCCCCCCTGGGCTCTCGGGCAGCCAGGCAGGGCTCCTGGGTCACTTGGACTTTCCTCAGCTTCTTCCCTCAAGTGCCTGTGGCCCTCTGCAGTGTCTCCTCTCCCTGTTTTGTGGTGGTGGTAGTCTTTCTAAACTGTTAGTCTATGTAAAATAAGCCTAATGTGAAGCATGAATTAAACTCTGCAACTTTTTCCTTCATTCTTTCATAACCTTTATTTTTTCAGCTGTTTTCATCTCAAATTCATCACGTGGAAGTTAGGAGAGCTTGTGTCTTGTTCATGAGGCAACACCAGCATAACTTTGAATCTGTAAGTAACTTGTGCGTGAGGCAGTTTTGCACACATAGTTAGGAAGTAATGTGGGAGGGGGTTTAGCCTTTAAACTCCCCACATAAATATATGCACTGAAAACATGCCGTGTTTGATCCATAGAGGAGAAGAGAAATGGCAGTGTGATTGCTTGCTTATCTTATTTGAGTTGCAATCTCACAAATTCTATTTGTATTTCTGAAGTTCCTGAAATCAAGCAGGTTACTAATACCCAAGTAACCAGTAGGGTGACAGTTGATTGTGTAGTATATTCTCTGTGGAGCAACCATTGCAGAATTTAGTAGGTAGGAAATATGTAGGATTTTGCAGTAATAAATGAACATCAAAAGATGGTGGGAGACTCCAAAGTGTGTTTAATTGTTGCACAAAGTAATGGACTTTGGGTGGGGTTTTTTTTTGTTTGGGGTTGGGTTTTTTTTTGGTTTTGGTTGGTTGGCTTCTCATGTGGTGGTTTGTGTGTGTGTGAGGTTTCATGTGGTGGTTTGTGTGGTGTTACGGTGTTTTTTTGTGGGTTTTTGGTTTGGGGTCTTTTTTTGGTATGTGTTTTGTGTGTCCGTCTGTCGTCATTGTGTCTGTCCGTCTGTCCCGTGTGTGTCCCTCCCCCCCACAAGTAGCAGTTAAGTGCTTCATCTAATCGAGGAGGGAGATGAGTCACTGAGTGTTACTCAGACTCATGCTCCTAATTTTTTTAGGGTCTCTTGATATTTCCACATTGTTACCCCAGATCATTCCCGTGCTCTAAGGCAGGGAACAGCTGAAGTCATACCCGTCACACTACGGCCCTTCAGAACCCTGAGTTCTGACTAGTCCCAAATTTGGAGTATATGCCCCTGGCCTCTGCCCTGCCCCTTCCCATTAAATACCTAATAAGGTCTGGTGTAGTTTTTAGGTTTAATTCTTCTTTCCAATTGGCTAAGGTTTTATATTTGTTTTCTTCTTTGTTTTGTTGAAAGTACGTGGAAGGATCATTTGAGAAATACCTTGAACGACTAGGAGATCCAAAGGTAAGACTGATGTAATACTTGTCAAGAGATTAAAATTTGAGAAGACTACAACAGGAAAGTAATTAGGTGATGGTTTGGGTTGTTTGGTTTTTTGGTTGGGTTTTGTTTTTTTTTAGATAGACCCAAATCCTGAGGTCTCATTTGCCTAGGGAATACTGTGGGTTTGTACTGAACATTCACAGGTATAAACAATACCAGTTTTAGGGGGGGATTTGTGCTGGTGCAGAGGAGCAATCTATGCAGACAGGACAGCAAAGCTGAGGCCTCTCGTGGGCCTTATTCATAAGTGCAGTTCTTCTCTAAGAAGGCAGAGAAGCAAGTATGTGAGGTGTACCTCACACCAAATGTTTATCAGGCTTTGCAATCCCTTGTTTCTTCCTTTACCCTCAGGTTCAAATACTAGAGCTCAAACTTTTATTTCTTTAGACTGTTAACCAGTAGGTATGGTGAATGCAGCAGTCTGAAACATAACAGTGCTTTTAATATAAAAAAAAAAGTATCTTGAGTGCTGTGTTTAAGAGTTCCTGCCAGAAATAGTGCCATCTTACTCAGCTTCGTAATCATGATTGTCCCATGTTGCAGACCTTCCCC